GCAATGCAGATGCGCCGCAAACCAGAATCTCGGACGCAAACGACAAAGCAACTGTTCCGCTGGTGGACTTCCTAGGGTATTAGCCTCTACTTCAGCCCTGAAATGACGTTTCCGCATCAATAGACGCTGTGTGTCACCGTAGTGATAGATGCCTCGTGGCCAGTCATGACTCAGCATGATGTCCAGACGACGGGAGATTTGACCGAGACGAAAGACTTCGAGGCTTCGAAGATGATAGACGGAGCGCTTAGTGGCCTCGTTGTACGGTGGATGTTCGAAGTGACCAAGGCAATAGTCATGGACTTTGTAGATGCCTGAAAAACCACCGATTCGAAGACCTGCGAATTGCACGACTCCAGCGTAGCCTGAAAATATTGAAGAGCCATAGCCACCTGCGTTTCTATCTCATCTCTATTTCCAACTGTCTATTATATTTCATATCTAACTACGTGATCATCAAATTCTGACTAGAGGGAACATGAAGAGGGGTGAGACAGTACCCCCCCTCCAATTCCATCTTCATGTTCAAATCTTCTCACGAGTAAAATCAGCTGACTAGGATCTTGTCTTGTAAGAATGAGCAGACTTCCTAACTGCTTCTTAGAGGGACGCTGCTTTTGTACAGGCTCAAGGTGTACCGTATCGCGGCAATAGATCTCCGTCGTAGTTTTTCCTTGGCCTTCAGCAGTTGAACAGTTCAAATGGGGCAATTGTCTCTGCAGGCTTCTGGGGATGAAGCGATGAGCTGAGAATCATTTGAGAATAACAATTTATTCATTTGCTCGCTCAACACTAGAGGAATTCAAAAGCTACGTCTTATTGCAAGTCAAACAGAGAACAAACAATCTAACAACGGGACGATTCTATAGGCTGAAAGAATTGCAGGAAAAATTGATGGCCTTGGAAGCTTACTGTCATCGCCTAATACATATGACACTCATTTGCTTGGCTGCCAGGACTTTTCATTCCCAATTAATGTAGGTGTAAACAAACTGTTTCATTCTCACATTCAACATTGCTCGAGGGTGTTCATGACACGTCAGTTGAAACGCCAATACGCAACAGTTCCGAATCCTCAAAAGACAGAGACTTCTGAAGAATTTGTCAATGGAACGCCAACAGCTGTGAACTTCCAAATCGTCCATATTCTAATGAGGGCTCAAAGTCCACATCCCTTAATTTTAAGTACGAATACTCACAAAACGTGACTGTGACTCAAACGATCACTATGAAGATGAAACACGTACCCCTCGATAGGTCTTCACTGAAGACGTTACATTGATGAACGCGTATTTGTTCTTCACCTTCCAAACTCATACAAACGAATCCTACGTGTCACACGCAATTCCAAACGTGGAATACTTGAGGTATAGATCTGTCTCAAATCATCGAAGAGTGAAAATTACCTGTTTCTGTTGTGAGATTTTAGCATCTGACCATCCCACTGAACTTACTTGACCTTTTAAATCGAGATGGAGCACCAGAACCATGACTGTCGTAAACCTTCTCGAGGTGCAATGAGAGACTTTTGAAACCTCTAAACCTTTTACGCAATTCATAGCACCCTTGTCGTCTACAGTCACTCAAAGAGTACGCAATCCTTGATTTGGAATACTAGAGTCCAGAGCCGTGCATCACCGCCGGAACGATCATGCGAAATCGGCAACAATCCCAGAAAAGGGGTATCACGTGTGTCTTCAACAAACCGCCCTCGGGTGTGCAAGAAGACAGACAACACTAGCAAGACTCACCCATATACCAGATGTTTGGCGCCACCCATCCTCCATAAGGCAGTTCCTGTAGATAATTCGACGCCTCATGATTACCTCCCACGAATACGGTCAATATAGGAGCGATCACCTCTTCAGAGTAGTATCTGGAAACCAAATGTTAGAGCTTAACTATCCCACTTACCTATAAAAATCACCCATCTCGTAATACTTCGGTGGCACTGATAATGACTGCAAGTCAACCGGATTTCGAACAGCTTGGAAGTCGCCACAACACAGAACCAATTCCGTCTTCATGCCTGCTTCTCTATCCATCATTTCAATGTCAGCGTACACCCGATCTAGCTGGCCGTGCAAACAGCCAACCACACATACTCTAACCATCTTTCTTCACTGCAAGATAAAGAGGAAGCATTACTCAAAATTGGAAAGTGATTAAAGACCAAAAAAATGTGGGCAACAGAAGATGGCTTTTATTGGAATAAAAAAGAAGGGACGGAGTTTTTAAACAACACGATGAGGATGAGGTTACAAATGCAGCCAAAATTAACATCATCATCGCCCTTGATACCCTCCGCGTCTGTTAGCGTTGCCGTAGGAATTCCCACCCCCACTTCCATAATAGGAGCCACCCCCGCGTTGGCCGTTTCCCATGGGTGAATGAGGGGGCGGAGGATGAGGAGGAGGCGACGAGGCGCTATAGCCGTTGCCGCGGTAACCACCGCCACCGTAAGCCTGAAATCGAACGTCATTACAACTTATGGGAGAAACAGAAAATACGAACTTGACCAAGATGACCCACCGGATACATCTGGCCAGGAGGACCACCCCTTCGATCAAATGGTGACATCATTGGCGGAGGAGGGAGTGGATGATCGTAACCCCATTGGGCAGGATGCTGTGGAGGGGGATAGCTACCTCCCATCCCACCTCTAAAAGAAATGAGCAAAGAAAACAACCTTCATTTTGCCCTACCTTCGATTGTTCCTCTGATCACCACCACCGCCGCCACCACTACGACGCATGAAGCCTGCCGTAGTTATTGACCCATCGGCACTTCTAGGGGACCTCGATCGATCCCGATAACGACGGTCAGAGGGAGGTGAACGACTACGCGATTGAGAAGAGCGGGATCGAGATCGCGACCGAGATGACGATCTGGAACGTGATCTAACAAAAAAGACAAATTATTTCCGGGATTTTTTAAGAAGTGGGGAACAAAAACACCAACCCAGAAGAGCGTGAATCAGATCGAGACCCAGACCGAGACCTTGAATACGACCTAGATCGTGATCTCGAGCGTCGACGGGTAGCCGAAGTGAATCTGGAAGCTCTTGAAATTAACTGAGTAGGTGGTGGAACCTGGCCAACGCTATTCTGCTGCGTCGACGGAGGCACTCCCGGTGGAGGGTATTTCAAAACCCCTCCCGGTAAATCCCCACTTCCAGCCCCGGAATTAACCGCAGCAACAGCAGCAGCGGCTGCAAACTGAGCATTCATCTTCGGCATACCCAAATTAGGTGGAGGCGTGGCGATTAAAGCTGCTGGACCCGTGCGAATCGCCTGACCGATAGCAGATTTGGGGTAGGCGGTAAGGTAGGCCAGTTGCGGTAGACCCCGATTCTTTGGACGATCTGCTGGCGAAGCTGAGCCACTTTTCTCTTCTTCCTCCTCTGTTGCCGCCGCACTGACATCACTTTCCTTTCGGTTTCTCGCCTCTTCTTTAGCCCGGTAGAATTCGAACAATCCGAGCCGCTCCCAGCCTTCTGGATCGCGTGGGCGGTCGTGCGAAGGTTGAACATAATACGCATCCAACGCGAGCATCAACTGTTCCGAAGGCGGTTCCGGTGGAAGAAGACGAAGCTTTGCGGGGTCCAATGGGGTAAAATCAAAGTCTTTTGGCCCTATCAACGGGTGCATGAGTCCTGCAGGCAGTTGCCAAAAAGGGGCTTTTGGAATTAGGTCCTCTTCAGATGGCGGACTAGCCTGTTGCTGTTGCTCCACCTCCTCCTCCAACGCCTGATTTTCCACACCTCCAGAATGATGCAATTCCTCTTCATTCTCCTCATAACGACGTCGATGTTGCATACCGCCACGGTAGGAACGATCGTCCTGATGATGGTGGTGGTTGTAATAGGGTTCGTCAAACCGTCCATCACGTCGATAGCGATCTCTAGAAGGCCCACCACGGTACGGCATGAGTGGAGGAGGCGGACCTCCCCTTCTAGTATCGTAAAACTCATCGTCAGGGTGATAGGGAGGCATGTCTCCACCTCTCCCACGTCCCCACCGATCGCCACCACGTCCAGGCATTGGTGGCGGTCCTGTCATGAAGGGTGGAGGTCCGTGCCAGCAAGGTGGAGGATCGAAATTTCCACCTCCGCCACCCCAACCACTGCCAACACCACCTCCACCACCACCACCACCACCAAAGCCCTGCGGGGGTGGCGGGGGTGGTCCATATCGAGAAAAATCGGGAAAAGGTGGAGGCCCACCTTCCGAATGTTCCAACTCGGCTGCTGCCGCCAACGTCTTGTGTACGTGTTCAGCGAAGTCATCATGCTGCTTTTTTAACGCCTCATAACGAGTTACATGTTCGGCCTCCACTTCGGCAATCTTCTCTGCATGCATCTAGCAGAATATTTATGATGCCTTTAAGTACCAGCACTAACCTTATCTTGTTCCGCTTTCCATTCCTTCATAAAAGCCTCGCGAATTGCCTCCTCTTTCATACTTTTCAATACGTCATCGGGGAGGTAGGCATTGGTTTCCCATAAACTGAGTACCCTAATCAATTTAACCTTCTTCTCTTCATCTGCCATCTCAAGAGCCAACGAGTAGACCGGTACAACGATCCGATACAGTGCTGACTGGAAATGAGCGACATCAGAATGGCGCTTGAGGAAGTGAAGAAGGTCATTAATAAGGTACACGATGTGAAGACGTGTCTCAAAGCTGGTATCCATGTTTTGGGCACGAAGAAGAAGATAATCCGCAACGAGATTAGCATAAGCTTCACCACGAGACATCAGTTCTACAGCCCAGTTCTTTCCCTTGGCGATATTCTCCTTAGTACACAGTTCGATTAGCGGTTGAATTGCACCAGAAAATTCTTCTGGGTTGACAGAGAGGGTAGCTGCTGTATTAATGAATGCATCCATGCGAGCTTTGTCTAGACACTGACGAACAGCTTGGGGTTTCTCCTCCCCGATTATCTTGTCGTACTGGGCTTTGAGATTCACCTCACTCCTCTTCACGTCTTCCTCTGTCAATGGAGGTGTCTGCTGTGGTGGAGGTGGGGGAGGGGGGTAGAAATTCGGAGGATAAGGACCATGACACCAAGGGGGTGGGGGACCATTTTGAGGTCCCCAATTAGGCCCCCAGTTACCTTGAGGAGGTGGTAGTGGTGGCGGCCATGGAGTGTTATTCCAACCTTCTCCACCTTCCTCCCAATTTCGACTGTATGGCGGACCTCCCCACTGAGGCTACGGGCAAAAAGACAATGGAACCAACTCGTAAGAAAGGGTCAGAATCGTGCGAAAAACAAGTACGTACATGAGAACCCATTGGATCGGGATGAAAAGACTGATGCTGTGACATCATTTGAGGAGGTGGTGGTTGCTGTTGCACGACCTTTTTCAGTTCATCAACTCTATGTTTATAGTAATCGGAATGCTCCCCGCCAAAGAGGAAGGCAAATTGAGGATTGCCTTGCTGCTTTTCCATTGTCATGTGCTCAAAATCTGGTCCATTACGAGCAACGAATTGGGCTAATTTGTCGATGACGGAGCGCTGTTCGGGATCGGAAGGAGGTTCAGGATCCTCAATTTGAGACATCTTAAGAGAGACTGCAAGTTAAGACGCACGAAAAACAGAGACTTAGATGTTGGAGCAATTTGAGACAAATATTTACACCATTGCAAAGAACAAAATCGTTGAAAAAGAACTAGTAACAACCAATTAATAACACAAGGATGAAAAAACACCCAAATTAACCACTACTTACAACTGCGTATACAAACAAAGGGACAAGAATACGATGTCAGTAGACTGTGGTCAGTAAGATACTGTTTTAATATGCAAAAAAAACTATTTTTAAATGCAAAAAAACCTTTAAATAAAGCTTTTTGATTAAGCAGTTAGGCCAAACAGTCTTAAGAGACGTTTCAAACAAAGAGCAGGAAAAATATGGCAACCCTAACAAACACTCTACTTATAGTTTAGGTATGTTTCGTATCTATGTTAACATAATATTTTGCTTGAAGGTTACGAGCTCTCTAGTAATGATCGAATGTTGAAAGAAGCCGTTGACACGCCTTGCATACAATTCTGTTCCTACGTTATTGCGTAATTGCACAATTTTGCATTGAGTTATCTAATCCGTTCGCTACATGCCTAATAGGTAGCAAGGATTTTCGAAAATCGCTATCTGCGGTTGGCCTGGTTTTTCAACTTTATTACCTTTTTGACTGCAAGCTGGCATTTTTTTCATGTTTATTTGCCTGTGTTTGTACAATTTCATTCGCCTTGGGTGCTTTGTTTATACTGTCAAGAACAAAGGTCATTGTAGGTTGGTCACTTTTCTAATCTGCCCCGGATTCAATTTTTTTAGACGTAGTGCGCCTGTAACTTTGTGCCTATTATAATTTTTAAAAGTTAGAATTTTTTGTGATAGGTGTGCTTTACCGTCAATATGATAAATTAACTGGGTAGACATTGATGTAACATGCAGGTAAATTCACACTCTCTCTACGTGAAAGACAATTTGCCATAACAACAGATGCAGAGGCTATTTTTTATGCACTTTAACTTTTTTAGTTTTACTTGTTACGTTTGCTAGCTTACGCTCCTAACTTTAAATGATTTACTCCGTGTAATGCGTAGAAGTAACATTTAAATAATCTTCGAATTTTAGGCAATTTATTTGTAAGCATCTTTACTCCAATGTGCTTGTGTTTTTTAAAAAAAGTTTAAGGTGTTTTGCAATTTTTTCCAAATTGTTTTTTGTCCTGGCTATACAGTTTGAGGACAGGTATAACAACAACAACATGTTGGTGACTATAAAACATATTAGGAGCTAAATGATTTGATCAAATAATTAACTAGTAAAATGTTTGGTTGCTAGTTTTTGTTTATAAGTAAGGCATATTTAAAGCAACTGCAATGAAGATACATCCCGACTCCAATAACCCTAAAGCTTTGCATGGGCGTTGCAAAATTAGAAGGCTGTCCTTTTATGCTGCATTTTCACTTTTTTAGCTTAACAAATGACAAGTTTAGTAGTAGCTCTTCGAATCTTACCAAGGTAAGGCAGTAGTCTCTTTTTTCCGCCTAATCATTTAGACAAGCTGATGACAATGATTCAGAAATTCTTAGAATTCACTCTAACGCCATCACTGTTCTCAGCTCTAGAGCTCAACCCGCAAGTCGTCATTTTGCATATATTTAACCTCTATTAGTCTTTTATGCTAGATATCTTTCCGCGCCAGTGTACCTTTGACTTTATTTTTAACCCAAAAGGATCCTCCTTGGAAAGTCAAAACGAGGTGCCTTCAATTTTTTATAATCTCACTCCCCTACTTTTCCAGATTTTTAAATGCATTGGATTAAAAACTGTTAAGGAGTGCCTAGATGGGTTTAATTGCAGCATTTTTGCCTACGGTATGACAGGAACTGGAAAGACGTACACCATTTTTGGCACAAAGGTTTGTTTAAACCTAACTGCTATTTAATTGCTTTAACACAGAACTGTCCCGGCCTCGTTCCGCATTGCTGCAATGTGAGTTGAAGGGCTAATAGCCATTGCTCTTAGGCTCTCTTTGAATCGGCGCTACATAGGGTACCGAATGATACGTTTTTGGAAATAAGGTAAATCTCTGAATTCGACTTTATTGTGATTGACTTACACCTTTTGTTTTTATGTATGTGCGACAGAGCGCAATGACCCGATTAGTGGCCCTTTTTGGTGCATTGCAACATGTATCTAATTTGCACATATGCACACTTGCATGAACGTTGCTAAGTGACAGAATTTAGTGAACTCTAGTGCCTCATCGAATACCCAGAATGCAACACAGTCCTTTAACTTAAAAGTTGACAATATGGTGCAGGACATAGAGCCATTTGGTCTGATATGCCTGATTTCGATTACTGCATCCTAATCCTCATCATAAGCGCAGATCTATAAAGCACGTGAATCATCCTCTAAATTGCAAATGTTCTCTGGAAAGAGGATACACACAAAAGAAGAAATCCTATTGTTTGTTTGGTTATTAGTTAGTTGAACGTTTTGGTCATTTAGGCATTTTCTGCTGGCCAGATGAATAGGTGGTTGGACATGGGTAAGTAGGTGGTTGAAATGATGTATGGTCGGAATTGAGAGGGATATGGGATGGATGGAAACAAGGTGGGTGGATACAGGATAGATGGATGGATACCGAATGAATGAGTGCTACACCAATTTGTGATGGAAAATGGACTGACTAATAGTGAGAAGAGACGTGAGTCAATTTTTGCATGTAATGCTGAGCAAACCGGTGGGAGGATTAGGCTTTTTGTATGGACGTAGAGACGGCTTGATAAACAAATGCATTTACTTCTGTTCTACATCGACTTCGCTTCTTTCCAAAAAGCTTTCCACAATGGAAATTAATTTTGACCTCTCTCTACTAAGATATCAGCAATAAATAATGGTTATCAGAATATTCTTAAAACATTAGTAATGTTCGTAGAAATGTTAATGATTGTGTCAGATGGCACAATCATTTCCCACTTTGAATAGATCCGTAACACTTATACGATCACTGGACACTAATCACTTCGAAGAAGTCTACTGTTGCCCATTAACAGCAATGACTAGCCTGACCTTTTAGAACACAATGAATCCACCAATTATCAATTTATTAGGGGATCACGAATCAACTCGAGGCTATCACTTTCAGTAATGACAACCAATCAAAATTGTGTACAGAAAATCAGTCAGTACCATAAGAAGGGACAAAACCGTCCACCAAGTTAATCGGTTCTTTGAACATCGAAAAGAAACATTTTTTCCTTTTTTTCTCCAAGGTTGAAAAATACCACCTTAAAAACCGCCAGCATTAGTGGTTTGTTTGGTAAACATGGCAAATAATACGCACGAGCAAATTTTGTTGTCTATTCAAAGTTAAAAACAGTAAGATGGAAAAATTTTTTTGAATATGCAGATGCCTTTTAATCTCTACATCTTGTCAATTTATTTTAAGAAGTACTCGACGGTTAAAATGACATCCACAGCACCCTCTTTATTAGATTTGGGTCGTCTAATCCATTTGGTCACTTCTACTTAATTCCTTTATAAGTAGAAAGAGCAAATAATCCCTCTACTTTTCGCCCTTTTCTCTTTTAGTTGTTTTGAAATCTACAATGAACATGTATACGATCTCCTAGCCAACTCCACGGAAGACGAAGTTGAAAAGGTCTCTTTACGAGTTCGTGAGCATCCAAGTCATGGACCTTACGTGGAAAGTGAGTTTGTAGGCTTTTGCCACCCAAAAGCCTTCTTTCTTAGATCTCTCGAAACATGCCGTTTCACATTTGGCTGACGTTCAACGCCTCATAGATCGTGGAATGGCCTTAAGGTTCGTGTGTATTTTATTTGGGACACTTAGTTGTACCAGAGCAACGGCTGAAACCCTTGCAAACCCAAAGAGCAGTCGAAGTCATTCAGTTGTCACAATCTATATTAATCAGGTGGGTGGATGCCTTAAAAACGTCACTTATAAGCCACTTTATAGAATGTCAAAAGCAGCTCGGGGGTCGTAGCACTTCAGTCAAAGCTGCATCTAATTGACCTTGCTGGCAGGTGCGATTGTTTATTCACTCAAATGTCTTTCAAGCTCTTATTTATCCATCATTCTTGGTTATAAATTTATTATCAAGTAGCTTTTTTGCACAGGCAACCTTAAAGCCGGACAAAGTTACTTCTGAGAACATTATACAACTCAAAAGTGTGGTAGATTATAAAGACCTCTTCTTAAGAAACAGTCAGACCCAGTCGACCAATTAATCACTTGGAAGAGTTTCTTATTCCCTCCACGACGAACCTCGCAGTGTTGTAAAATTTACCTGTGAGAGGAGAGGGATGATGGTAGGCTTAAGAAAAAGGAAGCAATAGAGATTCCTAGTGTTTTGCTTTTAGAAAAGACATTTTGAAGGAAGGACAAAAAAATTTACTTGTTTTTTATGTTTTTTAGCGAAAAAATCCAACACACCCGAAGCCCATGCTACATGTCGGAAACAAAAAGTATTAACAAATCTCTCTGCACTCTAAGCCTCGTAATTCGAAGACTAGGTGAGCTTCTCAAAAAGAGGAGGGAGGAGAGAAAAATGCTTCCTCCTTTTCTTTTCATTGGCCATTGTCACACTGTTCTGATTAGTGATACCGAAAAGGTGTGTCTCCGCAACCATTACTACGTTAAATATCAAATATCTGGATCGCATTCAAAATGCTCGGTTTCTGGTGATCAGTCGATTATGTCAAGAAAACACATTCTGCATGATATCTGGACTTGTCTTTTTTTTACCAGCTGATATGGCAAAAGAAGAGGCTTTGAATGCTCCACATTCCTCCCCAAGTAGTCCATCATCCTTGAATCATCTGCCGATGCAATCAACAAGGCGACAGAGAATCTACGTACCATATAGGGACTCCAAATTGACTTGGCTTTTACGAGACTCGCTTGGTGGACACTCCAAAACAGCCGTTATCGTTAGTAAGTCCAATTTATCGAGACTTAAAAATTCGGCTTTTAATTCAAAGGTTTGGTCAGGTCAAAGTGAGACATTGTGGTGACATTTTAGTGATTAGTAGTGATGCCATTTTCGAAGTAAAAACGATCTTTACGCGTTTGCTTTCTCAGTTCTCTTGTGGTGATTGGTACCTAGCAACTTTAAAGATTTTTGTAGATATTCACAGACTTCATACCCTTTTGGACAAGAAACCGCCCACATTATAACATGCTCGTCCACCCCATTCTGATTGACAGTCTTCGTACCAGACTGGTCAACAGAAAAAGTGCATCAAATTTTGAGAACAGAGACAGTATTATCCTGAAAGTTCCTGTTTGTAATAATAAACATTTCTTAAGTGCGTGAGCACATAGACTCTTCGGTTCATCATCTATAGATCAGCTTTTCTTGGCCAAAAGTTACTAAATTTGTCAGATACTTGGCTGATCATTCAAACTGGCGGTAAATTTCGTGTCATTACATATTTTGCGTCCACTTCAGCTGTATCTTCATCCGAAATTTGTCGACAGGAGACGCTACGCTCCCTCCGTTTTGCTCAGCGAATCAGAATGATTAAAAACCACCCAATCAGCAACAAGGTGGGCAACTGTTCAATCAACCAATCATCTCTTTCCGCCTTCTGGAAGGATATCAATGGAGACAGCCTCGATCGTCTCAAGGGCGAGGTTGGTGGATGGAGGAAGGTGGGGAAAACCGAGTTGATTAAAGTGTGAATTTGTCACGCAAAATGTCCACTACATTTGGGATTGATAAATCGGGTAGATAATAAATTTTTATGCGGGTTGTTCCCCTTGTGCGGATGGTTTGACTACAAAAAATGTATCCCCCTTGCTAGAAATCTAATCTAGGGATATGGTGGTGGAAGTGACAAATCAAAAGACGCCTTTTGAAGTTGAAGTATTTGCGAATCAAACTTATTTGCTTTAGAACCGGCCAACTTAAACTGGCCTTAAATTTGAAATTTCTTCGCTCCTTTTGTGAGATTATTTGGTCGACTCAGAATTTTTTCCCCTTTAGTTGCAGCCACAATATGGAGGACTACAAATGCAGTTATGTCGACACAAAGGACTGCAGACCTCTCTCGTCGATATTCTGGTAAAATGCAAAACTATTTTTACGGTTGAGGTAACATTTTCCCCAGATGTCGAGGCACTCTCAGAAAGGGATCCGAGTTTATGCGAAAATAGCGAGGTGGAGTTACCTCTATATATCTTGTTGTAAGATGGCAGAAGGATTCAAATCATCCGGTTTTGAGAAACAACCTGTTTATATTTTCTGAAAGAGTAGACTATGCGAGGTAAGCACCTAGGTGCAAAATGTTAAGTATTAATGAACAGCAGTTAAGGTTTTGTGAAGGGTGATGGTAGTTTAATGGTTGACTTGATGTAAGAAGTGGCTTTTTTGCATCATATTTAAGTGTTAATAAGAATGAGTGATTTATCCATTGCCAGTTCTGAGACACTTACTGTCCCATTCGCTTCATCTCCAAAAGACTTCCTCGTAAGATGGTTTAGAATTCAGTATGAGAGGGAAGGACGGGGGAGGGGGAAGGGAACATATTGCCTTACGTCTTCCTCATGCATATCCATTAGGTTCTTCGGAAGACACCTCTCTAAGTAAAGACTCTCACTCTTTCCTTGGCATCAGTTTTGTAAATGAAGCCAAGGTGGATGGGTAAGGGAGTGGATGTGGGTTTGGGTGTCTAAAGGCAAAGTGCTTGTTAAAGCCAAAATTTGTAGCTCGTGTGCATCCCACACGCTGTTTGTTAATTGCTCTGAACTGGGTTTCTAAAGTGAAAGCCTAAAGGGGTCACAAATCTCTATTCCACTTATAAGGAAGTTAGCAACGTACTGTCTTGAATGAGATAAACTTTCCTTTTACTGAATGTTTTGCATGAAGAAGGAATCGGTGGATCCTTTTAATATCGGAAGTTGTCCGACTACCAGATTCTACTTCTCGCTCAATTCTCAGTGCAAAGTAAGTTAAATTAGCTTCTTGCGCACAGTCTAGAGTCTAGCGGGTTCGAAAGGGGTCAAGACTAAAAAGAGTATTTTAATACACTCTGCCTATAGTCAACCGATGTTAACGTCCATTCTAATGGCGAATTTTCATTTGTTAAATAATGCCACTGTATTATGAAATGCAAAAAAAACAAGGAAATTTAACTTACAGTTAATCAAGATCAAGCTATCACAGACCGCAATCTCATTGGTCAGTAAACTTGGCCGCCTAATTTCATTGGTCAAACACAACTGCTACTTAGTTTGTCTTTAGTAGTGATGGGGAAATTGATTTTGGGGCAACAAGAGTACAGAGGTTAATAATTCACCCCTGGCTAGTCATTAGACACGAATTTAATATGCAGACACACCTAGTTCACGTGCATTGAGCCCTCTCCCTCTGATGTCCTTCTTTAATTTTTCAGCTCCACAAAGTGGATAACCTGGAAGGCAATCGCAAGACTAGGTAAAAAATTAATTTGCTTATTATTGATAAAAATGTGCCCTCTTTCGCTAAGTAACTCTAGAAAATTGCAAGACACTCGTTTAGATAAATTGTAAAGGCAAACTACCTAAAGTCGAAAAATTTTCTAAAGTAAATTATTGATAGTTCTTCATTTTCCAATGGGCTTTGCTTGAGGCGATGAAAGCGGATGAGTACGTGTAGTTGTAACAAGCTCTGCTTGGACAGCGGGCTGGATTCCCTTTCTTTAAGAGTAGCGTAGGTAATTTGCAGTATCATTGTAACTGATGTGGAGTTTTTATAGATGTTTAACAGGTATCCACGCGGAATGAAGAAGGAACCCAGAAATTGAGGAATAAAATGAACAGATTATAGGCGGGTCAACTATGTGGGATCTACCTGAGCTTAAACATTTGTTCTAGATGCCTGACTTGTTTCTGCAGCAAATACATCCTGGTAATGTAACCAGGGCCTACGAGGAAATGTATGGAAGGGAAATAGGCACAAATTCTGCTAGTAAAAATATCGGTATAAATACTGGAGGTTTTTTGCTACTTATTTTACCTTAAGTAATAAAGTCATTTTGTTTTTTGTAGAAAACAAAGATTTGTCCAACGAGGCACCCAATGCTTTTCAGAACGCATTGCACGACAATTAAACCTTCCCCAGATCAGCAAAAACAGAAAACAAAGACCACCGTTCAAGCTTCGAAGCTGCCATAGCGAAAATTTAGATCCACTGGAGTTCGAAGCGGTCTCCAATTCTTCAAAAATAACTCTAAATCGCGGCTGCCAAACCTATCATGTGGTTAATGACAGCAATATCACTGAAATTATCTCAATGAACACGGAAAGTGGAAGTTTTGACATTCATCTTCCAATAAAATTGCACTCAAGGAGCCTCCCAAACATCTATGGAAAGTGGAGAGACCCGAAACCACTTTTTTCCCCGTTCAAAAGCACTTTGGAGTGGATTCGGAATCAAGATCCTTTAAAGAGGATCTACACCTCTGGCTCTTCGACACGAATTATCTCGACAGACTCCCTGGACATTCTTATTCCTCAGGATATGGATGAGGAGGTTAAGCAATTCAAACACACCCCAAAAAGCGATCTATTCGTTCCCGAATTCATTCCACTACCTTCGGTTAATTCCCCAATATCCTTAATTAATCCAAAAGCTGGAAAACCTTTTAAGTACTCAAAGTTCATGAGAAAAGACGGAAAATGTTTGAATCCACATCATGAAGAAATCAGCTTAAAAGCAGCGAGTTATGCAGATTTAACAGATTATCAAGCCTACTTTCAAAGTAGACATGAAGATTCCCCGGATCATACCAATGACAGCATTTCATGGCAGCTGAGCCGGAAAAGTAATTTGCTTCCTAGAGGTTTATTTCTTGATTGCCCTTTAGATGCTGAACCAGACGTTCTGACAGCCGTCACTTCTTTGCGAGCATCCACATCCAGCTTTGGGGATATGAATGAAGAAAATCGCTTTCTGAGGTACTCAAGATTCTCGCATCTGCTAAGTTGATGCATGGGTGTCTCTAGTACTTGGTTGTTAGGAGTGTGAGTCCTTTACGGCGGAGAAGCATGCTACTCGAAAGGCATTTAAGTAGCATGCGACCTTCTTATCATATTCACTGCTCAATATTAAGAGCTTTCTTCTTTAAATAAGTCAAAAGAAAACGAAAAATGCTTATATGACTTGCATTTTGTGAAGGGTTTGTAGGAAAGTAACGCTAAAAAGGTTTCGATACATGGTGTTCTATTTTAGGTTAAAGAAGCGCATTTTGAAGGGGTTGTTTTTAGTGATACGGAGTTTTATGTTAATCTGACACATTCTCTACCCATTCGAGATGGTTACACTAATTTGTCTACCACAAACAGACTAGTCTCACAATGAGGATAAATAATTTGTTCATTTATTTCCTTTTTTGAGCAAATCTAGTGACGAACGACCCGACCACTTTGCCTTAAAGTAATTTCTGCTTTCTTTTGTTCTCCTTCTTCAAACGTAGAATCCAAACAGCTAAGAGCAGCACAGACATGGTAAACAGGATCGACGAAGGAAAATACGGTAATAGTTATTTCTGTCTCGTCACTTCACCTCACCTCACCCAGAAGTCGCCTCCCCAATGCACGCCGCGATTTTATGGTTTTGTTAAGACAGCACGCATCTCACTAAACGGTGGAAAATGCTCTCTCCAAACGTCTCCGATAGGTCCAGCCTATCTTTTCCTCTTTTTTGTAATAAAGCGACTATTTGTGAGCATAACCAGAGGGGTAACGTAAAAAATGCATAGTGGAACATCCAAAAACGTTGTGTAACTGCCTACTTAAGCAATTGTTTCTACTTTTTCTACAAAATCAGCAGTTAAAGTGATATTTACCGTGGCATAGTGTTAGACACTAGCTTATGTAGGTAGACTAGGCGTATTTGTATGCGCAGCCACAGTATGTGACTGCCTCCTATTGGCTAAAATGGCTATTTTTTGTAAAAGTGACAAGTAGTAGCTCCTTGAATGGATCAGCTTTACGGATTTAGTAGAAGCGAACGTGAACGAGTAAATGCATTTGAAACCTGGGCTTTAAGTTGAAGCGTTAACATGTCGAGTTAACAACCATGTGGCGCCAATGAAGGTCAAGTAATTCCACAAGATTTTCTTGAATGTGTTTCAAAAAAACATGGCACCAAATTTACACTACTTTCCTAAAGATTTGTGACCGACTGATTTTTTGTTTGAAATATCCGAAAAAGAAGGTGTTTTTCCTCAAAATTCACACCTTTCACTTTGTCGAGGAGATGAACTACACCCATAGGTGTTCTCTCGGTAGCTGCGATGTGGCGAGCCAGTAAAACAGAATGATTTATTTTTTTGTGCAGAGGGCATGGATAAAAGATTACTAGAGACTAGAAATCCCTTGCCGTTTAACAGGCAATAAAACAAATGTCAAGTAATTGCATTCCTTAATTTTTTAATGCTAATTCGGGAAAAAAGATAATACTGAATTTGCAGGAGGAATCTGCGTCAAAAGTGTGTCCTAAAACCTCCTCCTCCCGAAAAAAATTATGGAAATTTTCGGCCTTTTGACTTTGCGACCGAATACCCCTTTCGCGAAAGCAGATAGGCGTAATCTTGATTAGGCTCAACTCTTTCAACACTCTCCCCTGATAAATCCATCTGTCGAAGGCCAAAAAGTGTTTGTGCTTCATGGTCTACCTAATCACAGCACCCAACGCCCAG